CCACGGCGGGAGCGCCACTGCACTCCCAAGCGCCGCACTCTCCCGAGTGCGCCACAGGGCCGGCCCGAGAAAACAATTCTTAGAAAAGAATATTGTGCAGTTGCAAGACGTTGCTATGGTCCTTTTGACAGATTAATTTCAAATTTTTGAATTGTAAAAATATAACTCTGTAGTTTTCCAGGATATTCTCCATTATAGACTACTAGCCCTCAAATGAAGCACCTACTTGAAAAAGGGCCTTGATTGGTGGTCTACATGAAAATCTGCTGCTTCTTTCCTATAAAATAATCAAAATGACAACAGTTGAGAAATATCAAAGAAAATAATTACTTTAGCTTACATTAATAAAATAAAATAAAGATAAAATCCTCTAAATTTATATTTATTTGATCCACATGTGAATTAATTCTTAACTTTTCATCAAATATTCTGTCGAATCCCCCCTTTTAATTTTTTTGCAAGTATGAGTCATATCTATGTTAAGATATAAAGTTAAAATGAATATAAAAGGCAATATTTAGTTTCCTATCATGTTATATTCCATTTATCTTCCTTTTCACCAGCATCTTTAACATTCTAGAAACAAAGATGAACATTTGACCAATAAAAGTATTTGCTCTTTAAAGTCCAAATAAGTTACATCAAAAATGCAAATTACCTTCTAATTCAAAAAGTGTCACTTTCTTCTACAGGTTTTAAATTTGATTGTTTAGGCTAGAATTTAAATTTAGTAGTTATAATTTTCTTTTTTAGCTAGATCTCTCCAAANAAAAAAGAATCTGGAGATATTAAGATTCAGAATTTACTAACGGGAATAGGATTTACTTTTTAAATTTATATTCCCACTAAAGAATATCTATAGAGACAATAAAAGAATAATGTACTTTAAACTGATTAGCTGAAGTCTAAGGAACTTTTTTTAGAAATCAAATCAGATATGTTTCTTAAAGTTGTGTAGTTGTCTTAAAGGCTTTAAACTGAGTTCACAGCAGGTGACAGTATACATCAATATCAACTACCTTTAAAAACAACAAAAACATTTAAGTGTTCCCTGGCAAAGGATCAACCTTTGGGGCTTGAAAATTAATTTGGCATGCAATGTTTTTAAGACCTTATCAGCCTGTTACAAAATGAATTCACATAACAAGTTATATCAGGGCATACTCTTACTATAACCAAAGGTACTGAAATATTCCCTTTGGCTATGAAAAGATTATGAAAGTATGCTATGCAAGTTCAGAGAATAAAATTCATCCCGAAACATGGGAGGGAAAGAAAACCCACATTTTTCTAGAGCCTATTATATGCCATGATTAAACTATTTTATTTAATTCCTCACAACAATATATTGAAATAGGTATGCTCTCCTTCATTTTACATATGAAAAGAATGAAGTTCATCATAGTTACATAACTTGTCCAGGTTGAAGAGCTATTAAGGGCAAGACAAGGGGATTTGAACCCAGATCTCTCTGATTGCAAATCTGATTGTTTATGCTCTTTCTACTATCAACTGCAGAAAAAAAAATTCTAAAGAATAAAGAAAAAAAATTCACCAAAATGAGATATGTATACACTGTATAGCCACCTAAAATGGGGTAAAACTGAATGTCTGAAAAACTCACATGGGGAGTAAATTAGAAGAGCTAGCAGAAGAGTACTAAAATGACCAATTCTAAACTTTTCAACACACACAAAAATGAAATACTAGAAATGAGAAAAAAAAAAAAAAAAAACCATAATCAAAATATCAATGAAAAGAGAAATCTTAATATATTACTAAAAGTATTTCACTGTTTTCTTCTAACATGTCACTGATTCCATAGTTATCTCCATTCAAAATCTAAAACTGAAACCAGGATGAGAGTTCATGAATTTTTTTCCATCATTCTTATCTAATTTCTCCTTTAAAAAGTTTAGAAGGAGATAGATATTAACAAGTACGTGATTAGCTAGAGAAGTTTTGTCATTGTTTTGTTATGTTTTGTTGTTTTGTGTGAAGAAACTCTCCATTCTTCCACAAGGATCTATCCATTAATTCTTTCAGGAAATATTTACTTAGTGCCTACCTTGAATCACTCACTGAAGCATTGAGAGAAATTCCTCCATGGGTCCCTATTGATCCTAAAATGTCTTACTGGGTGTGCCAAGAATGCAAGGCTATGACTGCTCTTTATCGTAGTCATTTCTCAGGGTTTTGTTAACAGCAAGCAACCTTGAGGGATGAGGTAATGTCTCTCTTCTATACAAAGAGCAGGGTTGTTTACTACTTGCTAATGAAACAGTTGGGAACCCAAGTTTACTCCTCCTCAGTTGTGATACAACACAGTGTGTTCACAGCATCCACTAAGGCCTATGTCATATCATCCCTACAGGACATGGAGGTGAGGGGAACCAACACAACCATGACGTTCATGCCACCTGCCATACCATAATGAAGTCCTCTGTCTCTGACCCAGAAGTCTCATATCTTCTGCTAGCATCCATGAAAAAGTAACAGACTATTTCACTAGCTTTTGAGTTGGGTAAAATCCCAGACTCAAGAGTTATGGTAATAGAAATGTATGAGGTACTATGAATAATTGAAAAAGCAGTTAAGTTTTCTTGGGAATTAAGTCCTATCAGACATTTGAGTTGGGCCTGAATAATGAGTAGAAATGAACTAGACAGACGACAGAGCGGGGCACTCAAGACAGAACAAAATTATGTACAAGATAAAGCATGACATATTCAGGGAACTGAAACCTAAGTAGCCTCTAGAAGGAGTGGCAAGAGATGAGCCTATTAATGTAGGTGAGTTCAAATGACTAAGGGTCTTGAATACTCTATTAAAGAGCTAGTCCATTTTCTTCTGCAGATGATGGGGAACCATTGAAAGATTTGAGGAAGGGTATGGTGATATGCTCAGATTTTCATTTTATATGGTTCATTCAAGGGGCAATATAGAGAATGGAAAGGAGTAATCTTAGGGTAGGAAATGATCCATCAAGGAACAGAGAGTCCAGAAGCCTAATGTCCAGAAGACAAATCAGTCAGTAGCCTATTTTAATGCTTTGAGGGCCTGAACAGGGGCCTACAAAAA